TTTTTTTTTAATTAATGAAATCTTCTTAGTATCATAGTACAACTTTGTATGCTAATCCAAAAACAAGCATGTGTTTGACCCTTTTCCCCCTACACATGTTTATCTTCAGGTTTTAATATGCATCACTACTTTGTGTACGTACTAACACACAAATGTAGACAAACAGGCCTTTTGTATTTGATGGGGGCATTGTGTGTAGTGTTTTGGCACAGGATGTCCCTGAGCGGCTCCATAATACAGACCACTATTATTACAACAGCAGCAGAGCAAACAGGACAAGTGTGTGACAGATGAGTGTGTAAATATTTGTTTTTTTGTGAATTGTGTGCACTTCTGCTTGAGCTTATGGATATCTCTCAACAGGAGAGTGTGTATGTGTGGGATAAGAGGACAGAGAACAAATACAAGCACTCTTGTGACATTAAAAGCTCCCATTTCATTGAGATCATACACTCATATATGTTGATCGAATCTCATCCAAAGCTACTTGCATGATTGATCTCATCATATCTCATTGCTTTGATTCACCAAATCCATCTTTAAATCTGTATTTATCCATTGTACAAGCAGTGATCATAACCTAATTCCCAGTCATTTCTATTCGTTGTTTTTTTTTTTTTTTTGGTAAAGACACAATTCTCCATTAATTCAGGCTCTCTGGATATATATATATATTTTATATACTGTATTGTGTTTTTAGTTGTGGAATTTAAACTACAACAAAGATATTAATAATACCTAAATACAGGTGTTCCTTAATCTTATTTGATTGAAATATAGATTTCTTAATTTTTTCCCTTTTACTTCCCTTGAGTTAATTGCATCCTCACAGGCTATGTAGATTTATCATTTTATGTGTATATGGCATAAAGGAATAAAGCTATCCTTACATAGTGGAAGGCAAGGGCTAAACTGTGTGCATCTATAATTCATACACTAGATAGCACACAGTTAGATTTTTCAGTTAGGTTAGATTATTGTAATGCTTTATTGGGTGGTTGTTCTGCTGGTCCAAAATGCAGCAGCTAGAGTTCTTACTAGAACCAGGAAGTATGACCATATTAGCCCGGTTCTGTCAACTCTGCACTGGCTCCCTATTAAACATCGTATAGATTTTAAAATCTTGCTTATTACTTATAAAGCCCTGAATGGTTTAGCACCTCAGTATTTGAACGAGCTCTTGTTACATTATAGTCCTCCACGTCTGCTGCATTCTCAAAACTCTGGCAATTTAATAATACCTAGAATATCAAAATCAACTGCAGGCGGAAGATCCTTTTCCTATTTAGTGGCCAAACTCTGGAATAACCTACCTAACATTGTTTGGGAGGCAGACACACTCTTGCAGTTTAAATCTAGATTAAAGACCCATCTCTTTAACCTGGCTTACACATAACACACTAACACATTTCTAATATTCAAATCTGTTAAATAATTTTTAGGCTGCATTAATTAGGACAACCGGAACCGG